GCACTTGTAAGTGATTTTACTTGCACTTCGATGTTCAATTATTTACGAAAATGCCACCGCGTTTTTTTAAATATATTAGATCTGGACACGTGTCGTGCGCTGTTTCGTTCGCATATTTCCTCCTGAGCACTTATTTTGCACCTGAATGCATCCCTATATATATATATATATATATATATATATATATATATATATATATATATATATATATATATATACTAGTTTTTTACGCGCATTGCGCGATTGGGATAATGCCCAATGTTTTTTTTATTTTTTTTTATTTTTTATTTTTTTTTAATTTTAAATAAGTACTTTAAAGTATATTAAGGCAAGATTATATTGAAATTGTTCATGCATAGATAATTGAAGGTTGAATTTGCGTATTTAAATAGGTAATTCTTCTCGCAAAGGATGAGTCCCCAACCCCAAGGGCCCCCCACATTCCGACCCGACAGAGCATTGTGGGAAGTTGTAAACCTTGGTCTCTTCTCCCAAATACTGCCCATTAAACCATTGAGCTAAGCCCGTGCGGGTTAAATAGGTAATTCTAAGTTTACAAATGCAAGATAATATAGTCAAGATTGATTATAATTGTCAATAAAATAATTGTATAGGTATGGTTGAAACCAAATACATGACATAAGGGAGAACAAATAAAAATTAGGGCTTAAAATATTAAATATATACTAATATTGTTTGAGGAGATTTCGACATTAGGATTTGTGATTAAGTTCTATTAAGACTTTAATATTAGAATTAGATTAATGGTGTAATTATAATTCTATATTAGACGTTAATATTAGAATTAGACTAATGATGTAATTATAATTCTATATTAGACGTTAATATTTGAATTAGACTAACGGTGAATTAACGGAAAAGTTAAATGGATAATCATATAATTAAGGATAAATTAGAAAAACATTAAAAAAAAAATTAAAACCTGAACAATTTGAACCATTCATTTGATTTAATAATTTGACGGTCATTTTTTCTACCCAATGTTAATAATTAAATAAATTCGTTGGTCAAATCTGCTAACTACTATTGTTAAACAAGGACATTGCAAGGTAGTTCTCACTTCAATTTGTTGTGTGATTTGAACACTCTCTTTGTCACAAAATCTCTCAAGTAGTTAATATGGTTGGCTTTAATTAATTATATATTTTTTTTAATTTTTTCATGGTATTAATAAAATACTTGGTAAATAAATATATAGCATTATTTTGTATTATAACTTTGATATTTAATTAGAAAAATAGTGCACAAAAAAGATAATAGACAATGTAGTGAATATAATCAATTGATGAATTTGAATGTAAAAATTTTTACATTTGAGAAAAATAAAGACAATATGACTAATGAAAATATTTCTCTTAATTAATTTATTGATAGTGAATAATTTTTTTTCACTGAATTAAGACATTGTAAGGACAATGTAGCGAATATAATCAATTAATAAATTTGAATATAAAGAATTTTTATATTGTAGAAAAATAAAGACAATATAACTAATACAATTATTTCTCTTATTTAATTTATTGATAATGAATAAATTTTTTTTTTTGAATAAAGGCATTGTGGACACATAATTCTAAATTAAAGAAATGCATATCTATAATTTTTTGTTGTAGCTACTAAATTATTCTTTATATAATTTAATAAGAGTAAAATAGAGTACTAATTATGCCAACTTTGATTGGGATGAGGTTCGAACCTAAGACCTTTTTTTTTTTTTTAATTTTTTTTTTAATTTTTTAATTTTTTTTTTATTGAAATCAATGAGTAAGTTAACGGTGAACTAACGGCAATTCTTAAAATTTTAACGGAATTAGTAACGGTGTGTGGGTATTTTAGGAAATTTTAGTGTAAAATTTAAATCTTATCAATCTTTTAATTAATCTGAGCCATTCATTTGATTAAAATCTGTGACCGCCATTTTTTCTACCCATTATAGGCCTAACTCTCTTGAGCTCTTATTAGTATAGTATATATATATATATATATATATATATATATATATATATATATATATATATATATATATATATATATATATATACCATGGTTGCAGTAGGCGCTAGGCGCTAGTCGGACGCTCGGGTAGGGCTAGCGCGTAGGCGGAATCTAGGCGAGCACCAAAAAAATTTAAAAAATTAGTGGCAGACTTGTAGTTTGACAATTTTAATGAGACTGTTTTCAACATTAAATCAATTAACACATCCAAATAAATGAAATAACGATAATTTATAAGTCATAACATCATAATAATATTAAAATCAATAATTAATGAAATACAACATGAGACGAAATCGATCAAAATTAGTCAAAATCAGATGAAATTGGTCAAAAGCGGACGAAATCGATTGACTTGACCGAGTTGGCCGAGTTGACCGACTCGGCTGAGTTTGACCGAGTTGGCTGCCTAGGTTGCCACCTAGGCGGCCGACCGAGTAATGACCGACTATAATCAAAAGCGGCACGGCATGGCGTTGCCTAGCGCCGAGGAGGCCGAGTTTTACAACAATGATATATACACACACACGCCCTTTACTCGAAAGTGCAATTAAGTTCCTGAATTTAAAAAAAAAAAATCAATTAAACAGTCAAACTTGTTAAAATGAATCAATTAAATCTGATTTGCTGATAATCAATATGTTACCGGTAAAATTTTGCCGCCGACCCTGTTCACGACCGTAAAAAAAAATTAAAGTTGCCAGCGTCATTTTCTGGTCTTCTCCATGGAGAAGACGATCTTACAAGGCGACCAAATCTGGTCGTCTACGGTTGCCGAATTTGACGCTGGAATCTTAATGACGGGGTTTTAAGGTAAATTATCGATTTTTGGGTTTAAATGCACTAAAATAATAAATTTGAGTGTTTAATTACACTTAAGTTCAGGAGTCTAATTGCACTTTCAAGTAAAGTTCAAGAGTCTATTTGACCATTTTCCCTATCTGGTGAAACTGCATACATTTAGAATGTTCAGTGGCCTAATTGTATTTTTTTTTTCATTCAACCTAATTACATTTTCAGGTTACACATGGTTGAAAAAATCGCTAGACGCTTTCTAGGCGCCTTCTGACCGCCTAGCGCCTAGGCACCAATTAATTGGCACCTAGGCTTGATTTTTGCAACACTAAGATTATGTTCAATGACCAATTTGAACCTTATTCCCTTAACATAATGTAATAAATGCATATTATTTGGGATAAAATTTCGTAAAAAATATTATTGTCGTAAACCAAAAAAAGGGGAGGGGAAGTTGCTTAAATAAGTTGCGGCGCGTGATGGTCAAGCTGAATGCAATGGAAGTGGAGAGGGGAGACTTTGGTTTTGACCTATTAGCGTAATGCACATGGATAGTAGTAGACCGATGCCGGCAATCATTCAATAGTTTAAGTAACGTGTAATATGTGAGTTTGTTTTGTTTTGTTTTGTTTCCTTTTTATTTTTCGAGGGTAAGTAATATGTGAGTTTTTAGTTTGACACAAGTTGAGATAATAATAATAATAATAATAATAATAATAATAATAATAATAATAATAATAATAATAATAATAATAATAATAATAATAATAATATTTTTCTTGACTATTTATATTTATTAATTTTTATTATCAATTTTCAATTAGACTATAAATGAATTTTTATTTCAGACTTTTAATTGAATTATAAATATATCTTGTACATATTTGAACACAACATATATCCGACTTCATATTTTTCTGGAATTAAATTCCAGATTTATTTCTTATATTTCTTAATAAAGCATACACAGGCAACACATCACAACTAGCTTTAATAAATAGGAATAAGGTTCAAATTGCCCACTGAACGTAACCTAAAAATGCAATTAGGCCACTGAACGAAAAAAAAGTGCAATTAGGCCATTGAACACTCAAAAAATGTGCAATTAGGCCACTGAACTCTCCAAACGTATGCAATTTTACCGGATAGCAGGTTACCATCAAATTTAGCAGGTTACCTGCTTACGTGGCAGCTTAGTTCGCATTTTTAATAATTTTTAAATAATTTTTAATAATTAATTTTATAAAAAATTGGAAAAAATTAAATAAAAAATAAAATAAAGTCGTTTTTATTTTTTAAAAAATTTTTTAATAAAAATTTATTATTAAAATTTATTAAAAATTAATTAAAATTTATTAAAAATGCCAACTCAGCTGCCATGTAAGCAGATAACCTGCTAAAATTGAGGGTAACCTGCTATCAGTGAAATTGCACATTTTTGGAGTGTTCAGTGGCCTAATTGCACTTTTTTTTTTTCGTTCAGTGGCCTAATTGCATTTTCAGGTTACGTTCAGTGGCCAATTTGAACCTTATTCCTAATAAATATTTAAACCCATGATCTTTTGCAAAAGAAAAAAAAAACCCCAATGATCTAAGAATTATATAACCTCATAGAATCTTACGAACTCTCTGTCCGTTTAACGGTCCAGGTCCGATTAATCCTTGTTCGCTCAGCCCAAAGGGAATCGTCAGGTCCGATTAATCCTCGTTCGCTCCAGGAGGCACAAGAGCTAGCCCAAAGGGAATCGTCATTTGTGGGAATCAAACCTGGATTATCCCAAAATTTTCCCTCACAAAGAGAGCTCATTTGTCACTTGAGCTACCCTGTTGGGTTGAACTAAAAAAATATTTAATACCCTAAATAAGTAACTGAGTAGATGAAGTATAAATTCCATATAGAAATATCATAAGTTTGAATATTCTTTTAATTGAATTTGCCGTATAAATCTTTGTAATACGGTTTACTTCATAAATGTGAAAAATGAAATTAGCTAAAAGAACTTTAATAATGTCTAACCTAAAGAAGTAATGAAGCCTCTACTCAATTATTCTACGGAGTAGATAGTAGATACGATACGAACACGCGGGATATTGTGCGCGTAGACACATATATACTCAACAAAAAAACATGGGTTTAGCTTTACTCTTTTTTCCTTTTAATTTTAAATAATTCTTTATTTTTCTTCAAACCCAATTATTATTCATTCCATCGATTCAGCCAAACGCGCAATCAGTCTCCGACACTTGCCGGATTACGCAGAACCACCACCGTCCAAGAAAACCTCCCTCCGTCTTGCCTTCAGATCTACGCAACCCAACTTCAAAACCCTTTCTTCTTGGAGGGGATCCAAACCGTTGTTCCAACAAAATGGATTCTTCAGAGCAACGCCGCAAGCGAAAACGTCTTCTCCGGCTATCGACGCCGTCGTCTTCTTCTTCTCCACTCCTCCATTTCCTCTCCCTAAGGTCTTTCCTCTTGTGCTTCTCCTTCTTGCTCTTTCTTTATCTCCTCTCCTTCAAAATCCCCATCATCAATTCCTCCGCTTTCCGACCCGTACTCGTAGTTTCAAGCTTTTCTTTGATGTCCTCTTCTTCTTCCTCCTCCTCTTCTTCTTCTTCGTTTCGAGATTTCAGCCGTTTTCTGTTGCCGGTGAAAATAGAGGGCCGGGTTTTGTTCCCGGATCATGTTTTGGTGTTGGCTAGGAAAAATGGGGTTTTGGGTACAGAATTGGAGTGTGTTTATTACAACAGTGTGGATAAGGGTACTAAAGAAGAAGAGAATGTTTTGTCTGTGGATGATTATGATGAGTCTAGGGTGATTGTGAGATGCCCTGTTCCACCCAGGAATCATTCAGCTGTTGTGAATTTGCAGAAAGTTGGGAGGAGAAAGAGGGGTGGGAAGGGGGTTTGGAGGAGTAATAATAATCATAATAAAACTGTGATTTCTTGGGAAAATGTTGTGTATACTGCTACAGTGGATGGGGACACAGCAGTGGTGTTTGTGAAAGGGTTGAATTTGAGGGCAGATAGGGAATCAAATCCAAGGCAATTCAGTTGCCATTTTGGGTTGGGGAGTGGGGGTAATAAGGAAGGGAGGCTTACACTAATGACTAGGGCTATAACAGCAGCTCAGGAGGTTGTGAGGTGTTCATTACCTTTGAGTGTTAGGAAGGTACCTGAGAAAGCATTGGGCGTTCGAGTCACGATTGGGATGAAGATTTCTTCGAGCCGAAACCGGGTGCTCTTACCTTCTGTGGCCAAGATTTCGAGCCTGAAATCTGATCAAGGAAGGAAGAAGGGTGGGGGTGGTGGTGGCAAGTATGAGCTCTGTGTGTGTACCATGGTTTGGAACCAAGCATTTGCGTTGCGTGAGTGGATCATGTATCACGCTTGGCTTGGCGTCGAGAGGTGGTTCATTTATGACAATAACAGCAACGATGGAATCAAGGATGTGGTTGATGAGCTTGAGATGCAGAACTTTAACGTGACTAGGCATGTTTGGCCTTGGATCAAGACTCAGGAAGCCGGGTTCTCACATTGTGCTCTCAGGGCAAAGAGTGAATGCAATTGGGTGTCCTTCATGGATGTTGATGAGTTCTTTTACTTCCCTTATTCCACCCCACAGCATCAGAGGTTCCGGCAACTGGGTTATGCGGGCGAGAATTCCCTTCGAGATTTGGTGGCCAACTTCTCTGCATCATCGACAGTGGCAGAGATCAGAACCGCCTGCCACAGCTATGGCCCCTCCGGGTTGAACTCACCTCCCTCGCAAGGAGTTACTGTGGGGTACACTTGCCGGCTCAAGAGCCCAGAGAGGCACAAGTCAATTATCCGCCCGGATGCTTTGGACACCACACTCCTCAATGTGGTACACCACTTCCATTTGAAGAAAGGGTTTCAGTATCTGAATTTGCCCCAGGGCACTGCTGTCATAAACCATTACAAATACCAGGTGTGGGAGGTATTCCGAGCCAAGTTCTTCAGAAGAGTTGCTACCTACGTCGCTGATTGGCAGGAAAACCAAAATGAAGGCTCGAGGGATAGAGCGCCCGGATTAGGGACAGAGGCCATTGAGCCACCTAATTGGCGCTTACAGTTCTGTGAGGTTTGGGATACTGGACTTCGGGACTTTGTTTTAGCAAACTTTGCTGATTCTTCAACTGGTTTACTGCCCTGGGAGAGGTCTCCGGTATGACCTCTGAATCTCGGGACCTTTAAGCATCCCTGAACAGATAAATCACAAGAATTATCATTCTTTCCTTTCATTCTTTCACCATCTTATATCACATTCCTTTTTGTTTTTATATACTGGCAGGATGACACTGTAGTGTAGGATAGGAATTTTTTCTTTTTGCATATATCTGTACTTTTGTAACGTTGTGACACGATATTTCTAAAATGTTCTATCCATTACCTCTTTTCTTCTGTTGTCATGTTGCAACTTCTGCTTCCACAGGCTCTCAACCTTTTCCCCCTTTTGTCTATTATTACCAATATTTTTCTTCACCTGATGAACTAACTTTGAATCTGTGTGAATATGGAGGATTGTTGAGAATGGCATGACCAAAAAACATAGGAACAAATGAAAATCTATTCATAAATCCTTTGATGAAATGCGGGAGCAGTAAGAAATCCTTAACTACTAAAACCCCTTTGCAAAGCTTTGTATTGTTCTATCAAATGTATCTGAAATTAAAAATCACCAAAAAGAGTAATCATAAAGAGCATGAAAGATGCTTCTTCATTTCTGTTTGGGCTGGGATTCAAGAATACTTTTCCAGCTTCAACTTAAAGCACATCATCCAAACTTCTCGTGCATACACGATACACGCTCCTCATTTTCATAGCAAGATCTAGTAATCCGTACTATGGAACACTCGAAGATCAGAGTTCCTAGTTGATGCAATAATTCTCCAAACTGTCACACAGCTTGTTTGATATGGACTTAAGTGGCAGCTATAAATTACCTTCAATAAAGACCAATTTGAGATACAGAATACTATCTTACACCGCCAGCAGGGATGTCACTCACAACTTTTGTTAATGTAGCATCTAATTTCTCCCCAATCAAAGTGATCCATGCCTGTGGGTTGAGAACAAAAGGGGTTGATAAGTAAAAAGATAGATACATCTATAAAAACTTTTGATCCGGTGCTCAAGGCTCATGCATTATGAGCGGGGTTTTGGGAAAGATGATGTTAGCAACCTTTACATCTATGTTCAGAGAGGTTGTTTCTGTATCTCAAACCCATGAACTGGCCTTTCTTACTAGGCAAAAGATACCAAAAACTAGTTCCAATTGCTACCTAAGAGGTGTTTTGCAATATCTTCTTTCATGTGTAATTTTAGCAGGTGCAATAAGATTCTGAAGACATGACAAAATCTATAATGGTGAATGAGAGTAAATTTTTATGGCAAGGATGTACCTGATCAGAAGTCGTAAATCCTCTGACTGTATCACCACCAATTATGGCAATTCCTTTGTCTCCAATAGGTTGCAAAATTACTGCCTATGGAACATTATATCAATTAGCAAACATTCTGATGAATCAAGAATTATAAAATAAAGCACGAACACAGAATTCATGATACACTCGAGATTTGAAAGCACACACTGCTGAAACTGGGAAGAGGTGCCTCAGAAAACATTGTTATCTGTCAGGACAAGGGTTTTAGAAAGATTTCTTTTTCCATGATTATTTAATCTACCATGTTTCTGATTATTAAGTGGTACCATTTCTAACTTTAAAAGCTTACTGAAGGTAGAAAAGTGAAATTCCTGCTTTATGAGAGAATAAAGAGACTCAACAAAGGATTAAAAAGAAGTAGAAAAAGAAAAAGAAAAAAAAAGATGAACAAGATTAACAGTTATAATACCTGCGTATTTAAAGGCAAAAAGGGTAACTCTGACTTCCCAGGATAAAGAGATAAGTTGGCCAAATACCTCTCTGACATATAAGATGATCAAGCCCATATAATCAAATTCACATCTTAGAGAACATTAAAATAGCAAAGAAGCAAAAGTGAGGAAAAGGCTGCAATCAGTTGATGTTGCTTACGTGATCCAGATTTTGTAACATCTTGATAAAGTGATCCTTGCATCAATTTATTAGCATCTACAAGGACTGCATCATCAGATGAAGAAACAGCAGCAACTCCAATTTGAAGGATACATTTGCTATCATAAACAATAACCAGAGACCTGCAGCGTGTTGCATTTGATAGAGAATCCCATGTCCTGGGGATTAACCAAAAAAGAAAGAACAATAAAAGTAGTCATTTTCAGTCCTTTAGAATGTGCATGTAGAAAAATAGGATTCAGATTCCCATAATTTTACAGGACTAGCCAAGCATATAAAGTATCAAACAATTCAGAGAATCTCATTAAAAATCAGGCAAGTACCAGAACAATTCAGAAATTACAAATTCAGGAAGATCAGAAGCAATTCTTTGGCAGTCCACACCTATAGGATCTACCTGAAATCAAACTTCAAAAAATTAGAACACGTAATGATGGGATCATAGAAAGAAGCATAAACTACAACCTACGGTTCAAAGCAACAGGGAGATACTGGAATTGCACCGAAGTATAGAGCACTCACAACAGATATAGATTTCGGTTTGATTGAAAGCCACACCAGACCGTTCAAGATGTTGGTAACAGCTAATCCAAGTGTTAATAGATCTGCTCTAGATTGTGAACTGTGACATCTCATATGCATATAGTAGAAAGAGAGTCAGCTAATAAGGAAGAAATTAAGCAAAACCAAATAGTTAAGGCTTCAAACTATTCCACAGTCCTCTTAAAGTAAATGCTTGGAGATCACACAAGACCTTAATCAGATGCAGACCAGTATATACTATTTGTAACACGATCAGATGCTCAAGAATAGGAATTTCAAAAAAAAAAAAAACAACTTTATCTTGTCCTTTCATGTTTCTTCAATTCGATATTGGATATAAACATCTGCCATTCAGCACTCAGAAATATCTCAAATTCTCAAATGAGTTCTAATCACTTTTATTGTCCTATAATAGTATATTAGCATTTAGCATGCAACAAATATCTTTAGGATTAACAATTCTAAGCCTTCCATGATTTATAGCCCAACCATTTCCTCGGCTTTCTCAACACATCAAACCGTGAGCCCTATTTTATGCCTCTAATCATTCAAACTCAGTTCTCAAAGGTAACAAATAACGAAATGAGGTCTAAAACACGCGAAAAAAGAAAAAAAAAAAAATTGGCGCCAAGGTTTCGACCTTCACTTTGATTAGATTAATGGATCACTTTGAATGAATAGATGCTCAACTCTAAAGCATAGTATGGCATTATTAATTTCGGCCGAGGTTTAAAATTCAAATCAAGGAACGATTTTCTTTATTATTAAAAAAAAAAAAAAAAAAAAAAAAAAAAAAAAACAGGAGAACAGAAAAGTAACGGTGAAATGATCAGAATGACCTGCCGGCGTCAGCGACCGGAGCGATGCCGGAGACGGCGCGGTTGACGAGAACGGCCAATAAGGAGAGCGCTCCGACGTATATCGGCAAGCTCCGGACGAAACTGTCGTTGTTGGATACCCAATCCGCCACCCATTCCCTCTTCGGCTCCGGCCCTCTGAAACTTCCTCCCTTCAAATTCTCACGCCGAAGCTTTTCATCAATCAATCGATCAATTTGCAATACAAACTACACACTCAACACTCGGCAATAAACACAAAAATGAAAATTTTGTAACCTGAGAATTGTTGAGAGAAGCTTTAACGGTAACATAGCGCCGGAAAGAGGGGACACGGCGGGAATTCCGGGGCCGTTGCGGATCTAGGTTCAACGGAATGAGGTAGTTAAGAATTCCCACTTCCATTGTTGTTAAACTGCACTTGTCAATTGTCATCCGAAGCCGAAGGAATTTTAAATAATTAAAAAACGAAAACAAAGAAAATAAATGACATCAGCTATCACAATGGGCCTTAACTGGACCCTTTGGAGAATAGAATGTATGTGGGCTAGACTGTAGATGACAATTTATATCCTACACCACGGTGCGCGTTGCACTATGCGCCCAGATGCAAAACGACGTCGTTTTAATTATTTTTTTTTTAAATTTCCCGCCCCAGTGAATGGCAGTAGTTTTTTCTTTAAAAAAAATCCCGCTGTTCAAGAATGTACATAATGTTATACTAAAATACACATAATATTATACATGAATGTACATAATTATATAACAAAATATACATACTCTTTTTAAAAGATAATACACATAATCTAACATAATACATAATAAACATAAACTTTTAACATAATACACATCAACTCTTAACATAATACACACAAATTTTCTGATTCGGATGTACATAATTGTATAAAAAGAATGTACATAATTGTATAAAAAATACACATAACTGTATAAACCAATACACATAACGTTGTGAACAAATACACATAATCTCAGCAACTTCCTATCGTGCCTCCCAACACTACCCCAAAACGACGTCGTTTTGGGAGGCGCGCGGCGCACAATGCTATGTGCGCCGTGGTGTAGGATATAACGATTGACTGTAGATCGCATGGGCTCGTTGATACTGTATTCAACTTCAAAGGCCCAAAACTGGAGGCTTACTGAAAGTACATTTTTAATATACTAAATGTACATTATTTGTCTACTAAATGTACATTATATAATATAATGTATACTCAGTACACAAATAATATACATCTCCTGAATACAATGTACAATTTTAATATACTAAAAGTACATTATTTTTGTACTGAATAAACATTATTTTACAGTATACAAAATATGGTCCACACAATAATGATTGTTGTAGAGATGGTCCAATCATTATTCCATGGACCATGGTCCACACGTGTATGAATCATAAATAAAAAGTACATTTTTAATATACTAAAAGTATACTATTTGTATGCATAAATTACATAATTTTTTTTATATATTATCAAATAATGTATATTCAGTATACAAATAATATATTTTGTGCATATTAAAAATGTATATTGCATTCATAGTTACAGCTGTGTGGACCATGTTCCACACAATAATTTGCAATGATGGTCAATCAATCATTATTCCATGGACTAGCTGTGTGGAGGAGCATAAGTAAAAAATACATTTTTAATATACTAAAATTAAAGTACATTATTTGTGTACGTAAAGTAATTATTTGAGTAATGAAATTACATTATTTTGTAAACTATTAAATAATGTATACTCAGTATACAAATAATGTACTTTTAATATTTTAAAAATGTACATTGTGATTAAAAATGTACAAATAGTAGATCTCATGGGGTGGTTGATACTGTATTCAATATACAACTATGTGAATCATGACCCACAGAAAAATTTGCGATGATCAATTTCGTACTCACTCAAAATTAGTTGAGGGGACAACCCCAATCAGGTTGATCATGTTGTTGATTTAGTAACCATAAAATTAAAAGTTCGAACCCTAACGAGAACGACCTATTGATCGATGCACATTCTTGAGTAGTAGTTATAGATTTCTCTCGTAACTAAAAAATAAATAAAAAAAATACCTTGTTTAAGTTATGAATAAATCTAGAACACAATGGGATTGGATTTGTGTCCACTTCTTAATATTGTTTTATTATGGACCGAAAGTGAACTCCTGGCCCAGCGTCTTACACAACAATTGGTTCTTTTCGTTGCTAATTTTACCCTTAAATATCCAGTAATATATATATATATATATATATATATATATATATATATATATATATATATATATATATATAATGTGTTACTAATTAAGGAAGCAATATATATAAATAACACATAATATAATTTACATTTTCAAACAACTAATTCTTACAAGCTATATGTAGCAATAACTTGCAATTTCAATTTGTATAACATTCAAATATAGTTGACTTAGTGTGTTGGTACTGGACTTATGGTGCATGGAGAATTTTAGGAAGTTTAGTTAATGTGTTTGAATTTTAGGAAGTTTTGGCATTACATAGATTAAAATAGGAAGATTTTTGGAAGTACATAGATTTTTTTTTTTTTTTAATTTTTTTTTTAATTTTTTAAGGCGGGAAGTACATAGATTAAAACAGAAAATTTTTAAATAGATGACAAACATAGAGAACATCAATATACGTAATGTGTATGAGTTGTAGGAGGTTTTGGGAGTACATAAATTAAAATATGAAGATTTTAAAAGTTAAAAAGACAAAAAAAGTTGCATAGATGGTTTATAACCTTTTTTTTTTTTTTTTCTAAACCTACCGACCAATAACGCCTCCACTGAGGCTCGAATTCATAATCTTCCAAATGAAAATCCAACTCGGGTACCATTAGACCACATAGTCCTGGTTCCCACTCTTATACTCTTAGAAATACTTTCTCATTTTCTCAATCTCATTTCAATTTTACTCTCATATGCAATTTTTTCATATTTTTTTTTTAAATGTTAACAAAATAGATTAATATATTCCATGATTATCTATATATATATATATATATATATATATATATATATATATATATATATATATATATATATATATATATACTCCCTTATACTAATATTTGAGAGTTGCGAATTGCCCCTAAAAAATGGCACCCCTTATTAACCATTGATCTCAAATCATGTGGTTGAAATTTTTTGATCTAACATTTGAATTTATTTTTGTTATCAAATGCCCTCAATTTTTTAAGTGAATTACAACTTTACCATTATATAGCTCACTTTCCCTTCTACTTTTTCTTTCTTTTCTTTTCTGTTTTTGTTTCTTTTAAGGATAGCTCCACGTGGCTATTACAGTGTTACCATTTTCCCCTTCATTTTTCATTTTTTATTATTTGTTTTCTCTCTCCAAAATTGAACCCAAAACCTATACATTTATTCTTCATCCTTTCTCTCTTTCTCCTTTTTTTTTTTATTTTTATTTTTTATTTTTATTTTTTTTTCAAGTCTAATCAAAAAATTATCTTTTAACTCCTAAGAGAGTAACTTTATGTATATTTTTAACTACAAAAAAACTTAAATACAGAATGCCAGAACTGGATTACGAACCTGCAATAACATATTGACTATGACACTGGAAGACATTATTATTAATATTATTTCTAAATATTATGATCGATTAGAAATTAGTTGTATGTATTTTTAACAGTATTTTTATGACTTGCAATTCAACCTCTACATTCAAAAACCCCTACATTTATTCAAAGAAGTTTATTCAACTTCCTGTTTCTGTTCTCATATATAGTTAAATCATTTCTCCTAGAAAGCACCATTGGCTGCATGTCAATTGAATCATCAAATTTTCTATGTCATGTGTCTGGGTCAAACAAAGTGGGAGGTGCATTAAGTTTAATATATTTCTGTATGAACACAATTAGATATTCAAATGCCACCACAATCAATAATAAAAGATTCTAAGAATGTTAACAAATTATTAGGTAGGAATTGGTTAGCATCAAAGGAGAAGCTGAGGTAGGAAATTTTGTAAAGGAGTTGAAAAATAAGACATGAATGTTTGTTGCTAAAAGATTCAAATTTAGAGTTCAATGATGCAACATTAAGACTAAGGAAAGTGTGCTCCCGCTATTTGAATAGAATTGAAGATTTGGAAAAATGATGAGTTCTTCTTCCTCCATTTCCCCTGCAAGCTTTAGACGAAATTGTTCTCTTTTAGAATTAATTAATTGATCATTGTCTAATGCAATGTATACGATATTTTGTTATTAATAATATAATAGTAATGTACTATTAATGTTTAATTTGTTATTATCTTGTTCAGAATTATAATTATATCATGTTGATTATTAAAATTTTTATATATTATACCATTTAAAAATTAGAAAACATTAATTTACTGTTGGGCATGACGTTTTGCGCAAAGCGCGTGCTTGCGACTAGTATACATATAAAAGTCACTAAATTTCAGCCAATAAAATGACTCCATTTTCTCGCCCATGACAAACGATAGCGTTTAGGTTTTTTTTTTTTTTTTTTTTTTTTTTTTTTTTTTTTTTTTTTTTTTTGTTGGTGATTGGCCAATCAAATTATTTTATACACCTGCTCATCCGACTTAAGAAACCTATGGTGTTAGGCCTTATTTGTAGGGGAGTGGCCTATTGCGTATTTGCAGAGTTGCCGTGTACTTTCAACCATACTGGGTACGAGAGAGGTGTAGTCTTGGAGAGTTCTCAGTTCCACGCTTATATATATAGAAGATGCATGCATGTTTAGAGACTTCCATCTCTATTCAAATACAAACTGAAAAAACAAATTTCATATTTCTACGATTAAAGAGCTGAGGTTGATGTCCGGGCAGTTTATTGTTGGTGCTCAGCTTCATCCTCAGCAGACCACGAAGGTGATTAGGTTGAATTATGTGCAAAACTATGTCGTCACTGAAACCAGGGTTGAAAAACACATTAGTCAAGAGCGTGTGTTTGCAGTTTACTATTAGCCATTTGTCATGGTAATGTAATCCTTCTTTTAATTTTAATTTATGCTGTGATAATTATGGTATGTTGGTGTTTTTCCATTGAAAAAAGAAAAACAGATATATAACATATACACATTGACGGTAATAATGTTACCGGAAATATATTATAAAGTAACGAATAAGAAAGTGACAATAGTTGTATTGCCTTAGTTTCAGTATGGAAAGTACAGTGTGTCCTCGTCTAGTGAGGAGAGCCCCATTTATACTTAGAGTCCTAACGGTAACAACATGGGACATAAACGGGGAGCCTAGCCTTTAATTCTCTCTCATCAATGGGGGCTTCAATGCTGACTTCAATGACAGTAAGGTGACACCTGTTGGGATTCCTAACTGTTGGAGTTCTACTCGTTGGGTTCCCAAGCGATGCTGAGTCAGATGCCCAT